AGGTTCGCGCCTGGCCACGTGGGCGCGCGGGGTACCCCGGGGGGCCAATGGGCTTGGGGTCGTGGCGGGGCGGGGTGGCCGGAATCTGCGTGCTCGGCGGCCTTCGGAGTGTGCCTCTGTCGCCCTGCGCGTGTCTGTGCGTGGGGAGGTGCGAGGCGCCTGCGGCCCGGCAGGCTGCGCAGGCATGTGCGCTGCGCGTGCTGGGGCTGGTCTGGGGCAGGCCCTGGCGGAGCCGTCCGGGCCCGCGGCCAGCCTGCTCCTGCCCTGCAGTTTCCTGGATGCCCGGGGGCACGGACAGGCGCCTGGGACCCGCGCAGGGATGGCCTGGTGTGTGTATGTGTGTGCGCGTGTGCGTGTGTGTTGGCAGAAGCTGCTGCAGATGGAAAGACCACCCCTCCCAAAGGAAGAGACACTAACTAGGCTCCAAGTTGTAACCCACGGTGGCACCGCCGTCTGTGGATGTTTCATTTTGCTTGTTCGTTTCTGGAATTGGGAAGCATCCTGTCTGCTTAGGGGTGGCCAGGTCAGGCAGGAGCCCAAGCCTGGGCATGCTAGGATGAAGGTGGTGGGGATCCAGCATCAGGGGGAGACAGGCCTCGTGCCTGTGGCGGAAAGGCCCGGGAGAGGGGTGCCTTATGGTACTTGCTTTTGTTCAATTCTGGCTTATACCCTCACCTGATTGTCTGAAATTAGGTACGGGCAGTGAATGCGGACATGGCTTGGAGAACCAGGTTAAGAACAGCTGGCATGGGTGGCCCTGTGACTAGGGAATGTGGACGTAGCTTGGAGAACCAGGTTAAGAACAGCTGGTATGGGTGGCCCTGTGACTAGGGAGTGGGGTATCAGGCCATGACCCGGGAGGTTTCCTGGGTGAGGTCTTGCGCTTGGTCCAGCTGCGAAGAGCCGTGGGAGTGGGTCTGCCTGGTGCCTTGGTCCCGAAAGAGACTTGGAGCTGGGGGCCAGGAATGGCCAAGACTGGGCGGGCAGGGTCTCCCTTGCTCGGAGCCCTGGACAACTCCTTCATCCGAGGCCACCCAGCTTGTGCCTCCATCTTGATCCTCCCCTGGACTCCTGCTCCGTCTATGGGGTATCCATCCTCTGTTCCCACGCCTAGCCAGGTATCCTTGACCCCTGGGGGCTTGTGATAGGAACTGTGTCCCTGCAGTGGGAAAGGCAGGGGCAGGCATGGGAGGGGCCCTAGGCAGTTACTATTGGCCCTGCCCCCCCTCGCCCCCACAGCACAGCGGCGCAGCAGGCAGGTCTGAGCAGGGCCCACAGCCTGTCATCTGCACTTGGGCCCAAGCCAGCGTGGCTCCAAATCGCTACCTGAGGATGTGTTTTCTGCTCAAGTTGGCAGCCGTGCTGTGGGGGCAGGGAGGGCCTGGAGGAATGTGGCGGGCCAACGCGTGTCCCTCGTGGCTCTTTGCCCCGCTGGCCGGCCGGTTGGTGTGGGACGGGATGGGACAGGCCCTTGCCTTCTTTGGAGTCTGGGTACCTACCTGGTGTCGAGGACATTTTAACCTCCTTCGTTCTGTCCCCAGCTGGTTCCCTCAGTGCCCCAGGAGTGGGCATGTTTCTAGCCTGGATGGAGGGGTCAAAGGGTATCCTGTGTTTGGGGCGGGGGGACAGTTCTGGTCCCCCTTCTCCCCTCTCGCCGCATGACCTGGCTGCCAGGCATGGAGCTGGTGCCGTGATGCCAGTTCCTTGGTATTTCCGTTCTTCGGCAACCAGCCCTGCGGCCAAGCTGCTCGGTTTTGCCACAAGTTCAGCTCTGTCCCACAAACCGGGGTACATTTGGGATCCAGGTGCGCACCGGAGCATTCGGCTTCTGGGAACAGCAAGGACCAGCTGGGACTTGGGTTCCTTGGTGCCAGGAGGGCCCTGTGGAGAGATGGGGTGGTGTGAACGGTGGCTGAGAGCAGGCACCAGCTTCTCACAAGTCCCCCTCTGCTCGGGGTGGCCCTCTGGCTCCGTACCTGCAGCGGAGCCTCTTTGAGTGAATTCTTAGATGTGGAGAGGTGCAACAACCCCCACCGGGTTGCGCGCGTCGCAGATGGCCCCGGGAGATGTGTTTTCCCCAGAGTGGCTCTGGTGCCTGCCTATGCCCAGCAGAGGGGAAGCCATGTCCACCGCACATGCTTGAGCTCTGTGGTTGAGCAGGTGGCGGCAGAGGGTTCTGGGGATCAGGAGCTTTCCTTTGGGGTCTGGTGGATGGCACTTTTTTCAGGGTGGCCGAGTGAGGTGCCAAGGGGGTTGCTGGCCTATATAGCGAAGGCTTCCAGAAGAGGAGCGGTCCCTGCTGCAGGCTTTCTGCCTGACCAGCTTGCCTTTTGAGCCCAGGGGTGCGGCCCTGTTCCAGTCTGCTTCCCTGGTGGCAGACCAGTGGTGTGTGCACTCCCTGAGCTGGAAGACTAGTAATACGGTCGAGTGTGGGCTCCGTGGCGCATCTGGGGTCACGAGTGGAAGTGAGGTGGGTCTGAGGCTGACCTGGTTTCCGTGGCTCAGAAGAGCTGGGGGGGGTGGGGCAATAGTTCTGTAACCCGGTTCCTCTCCCTTGAGATGGATGCCCTGCCTTTTTGACTGGGACTCCTGAAGCTGGATGAGGCTGTCGGATGCCCAGCATGCTTTTTTTTCTTTTCTGAAGTCTCCAATGTGGCCCTGTCCGGCCCGAGTCCTTCCTCTCCCCTGACTGGCTGTCCAGCACATGGCCAAGTGTGTGCGAGGTGTGTAAAGGAAGGGCCACGGTGTACTTGAGGGTGGCGAAGTGGTCAGAGGAGGGATGCCCCCCTAGGATGGAGGGGTGGAGGTTGTTGGGACTAATCAGAGCGGAGGGTGCTGGAGCAGATCTGGTGGTGTGGACACCGGGCCTGTCCCCATCCGACCCAGGTGGGCTATTCTGGAATCTGTGCCTTGCATGTACACCAAAAGGCCACGCTTCCCTCCATGCCTTCTGGAGCTGTATGGGCACTGGCCTCTCCATCGCACCCGTGCTAAGGTCTATTGCCACCCACACCATCCCCGTGAGACCCACAGTCCTCCTCAGGTGGAGCTACGGGCAGGTGGTGCTTCTCCCTTATGGGTAAGCGGGGGGTGGGGGCTTGTTCAAGGCTGTATAGTACACCCTGAAGTGGCCAGGAGGCAGAAAGAGCTAACCTGGCCAGAGGAAGATTTAGACATGGAAGTGGATGGGGCCTTTGTCCCGGGCCCATAGAAGTGGTTGGAAAACAGGCGTGTATGTAGTGTGATGGATGGATGGAGAATGGATGTTGTGTATCTGGGTTGGCAGGAAGGGCACTGTGGTTTTCAGGAGTCCACATGGTATCTGGGTAGAATGGGAGATGGGCTGGGCCAGAGACAGGTCCTGGGGGGGCCAGGCAAGGGCTTGAGCTGGAGGTAGTTGGCCTTTGAGGAACTTTAATTCCCAAACCCAGAAGGTATCCTTATTAGCAGCCTGAAAGCCTTGAACTAGCCCTGCCCACACACCCCATCCTGAGCTGGGTATGGGCATATCCATCCCGATCCTGGGCTAGCTGCAATCCCAGATGGCTAGGAGTGTTAGCTGGCTCCCCGACTTCCTCCCTCTTCACCGTGGACACCCAGGCAAGGCCTTGGCTGGTGTCTGATGGTGACTGTCTAAGCTCTGGCATGGGTGGCCTGCTGTCTCTTCCTGTGGTCCTGAGACCACAGCCTAAGAGGAGTTCCCCCTTCCCCCAGCCCCTTGGGTGACAATGACAGAGGCCTAGGCCTCTCCAAAGCTCTGGTTTCAGGAAGTAGGTCTGCGCTTAGAGCTTGGGGCATTTCGCAGCAAGTGTTCTGCCCTGTCAGGGGCCCAGTTTGGATGCTGGGATAGAACCAGCCTTGCACCTGGCCGTGAGGTGTGGCGCACCTGGTTTCAGGCCTGCCTTTCCTGTGCATGCTGCTGTCCTGTGAGCTGTCTGGA